GCGCCTTGGAGCGTAAACGTGCTGCTCGCTCCCGGGCAGAGAAATGAACACCGCCTAACAGCTCGCTCTCTCTTTCAGACTCCCAAGAATCAGATCAAACAGAAAAAAATGGCTCCTCCCCCAAAAAAGGTCGAGGAAAGCGAGGAAGAGGAGTCCTCTGAGCTAGAGGAAAGCAGCGGAGAAGAGGTGATCTATCTAGAAATGAAGTCAAAAGGATACATGTGTTATAAAAGTGTCACGAGGGTTGGGGGGCACATAGTATGTGACAGAGAATCAATATTAATAAACAATTGGCGTCTGTCAGTTAACTGTGGCTAAAGAATAAACTGGATTTCATAAGAGAAAAGTAATGTGGGGAAAACTAGCTTAGCTGCTAAGTCTGTACTTCCAGGCTGTGGAAGGTCTGCTGGGATCTTAAAGCTGTCCCTAGTACTGATGAGCAAGTGGATGATTAATTACTCTAGTAAAGCATCAGCAATAACTGGTTTATAACTTTTATCACACAAGTTTATCACACAAATAATATGCAAGACTAAAAATTTCAAGCTACTGAATGCTACTAGAGAGATCACTGGTCTTGCTTCAGGACCAGGGAATTTGGAGATCCTTTAATGTTCTATAAGTAGTCTGTTAAAAGCATGAAAAAGCTGGTTTTGACCTTTATTAATTCAACAGAAACTAAGTCTGTCAGAAGGATGTGCTTTAGATTGCAGTTGCTACATATTTGTCTGATATTGAAATAATAGTAGTTTAAAGGGCCAGCATAAGTCTCTTACACTAATATGTATTTCAGATGATCCCTCAGAAGAAGCCACAAAAAGCAGCAGTTACACCAGCCAAGAAGGCTGCTACCCCTGCAAAGAAGGCTGCTACTCCTGCGAAAAAGGCAATTACGCCCGCCAAGAAGACTGTGGCTACTCCAGCTAAAAAGGCTGTTGCTCCATCACCTAAAAAGGCTGCTGTCCTAACCAAAGGAGCGAAAAATGGAAAGAATGCCAAGAAGGAAGAGAGCGAGGAGGAAGATGAAGATGACGAGGAAGATGAGGAGGACGAGGACGAGGAAGAAGATTCTGGTAAGTTACTTTTGAAATATGTGTTCATGGTTGACTAAAGCTGGTCCAATCACGTCACTGAATTTGAGTACCTTTGGAATTGAAAGTTTAGGGTGATTTAATACTCTTGAGAGGGGGAATTCATTGATTAAAAGATGGTGAGGAAGGAAAGGTGTGGAGTCAGTGAAGTTTGGAGGAGAACTTGGGCTGCAGGTGCATTACACACAATATGTGAAGCATCTTCTAGTTTCCCGATCGTTCTTTCCTGAACTTTGCTAAAATCTTGTGGGGGAAAAAAAGTACTAGTAAAGTTTGAAGGCTGAGTGGTGTGGGTGAACACTTGCTGTACTGTTGTTGCAGATGAGGAAGAGGAACCAGCAATGCCTGTGAAGCCTGCAGCCAAAAAGCCTGCAGCAGTACCAGCCAAAAAGCCTGCAGTTGTGCCAGCAAAGCAAGAATCTGAAGAAGAAGAGGAGGAAGATGATGATGATGAGGAGGAAGATGATGGTATGTAGGATTTAGGAAAACTTCGACTCTTTTAAAAAAAAATTCAGAAGATGTTAAACTAATAAATGCTTATAGGGAGCTAGATGGGGGTAACTTAATGGTTTACTGGGAGTGATGCAGTGTGTGTGTGTCTCCATTTAGTGCCCAGCTGATTGTAGCTGGCTACTAGTGTCCATCAGATGTGGCTGAGTGGGTGTTTATTTCCCTATTGCTAGTAAAACTTTTTACTCTTGGGGAACAGGTATTGTTTTTTAATGCAGTAAAACTTGAGGGAGAGGCTGCTTTCATAAACACTGTAAATATATTAAACTCCTTTCTTGAGAACATACAAACTTAAGGGGGCGTGAAAAACACATTTTACTTCGCAAGATTTTCTTAGTCTCAAAAGGGGCATCTTGAACGTGTCTGAAATCTTGTGCTCAACTTGTTTCAGAGTCTGAAGATGAAGCTATGGACACAACCCCTGTTCAAGTGAAGAAACCTACTCCAGCAAAGGCCGCACCAGTGAAAGCCAAGGCAGACTCTGAAGATGAGGAAGATGAAGAGGATGATGATGAAGATGAGGATGAAGAGGAGGAGGATGAAGAGGATGCTGAGGAGGAAAGTGAGGATGAAAGTGAGTTTAAATGTTTTTGAGAGCATAACTGTCTAATAACAGGAAAGATGTCTGAGCAAAATTCTTGTGCTATCATGGTCTTTTGGGCTGAGGAACAGTTGCTGTAGTGACAAGAGAAGGTCTTGTGTTTGACTGGTGTAAAGATTAATGCTCCTGTATTGACCCAGTATAGGAAAAGTTGTTTTGTACTTTTATTTCAGTGTTGTTTGTTCTCTATCACAGAACCTGTCAAGGAAGTACCTGGAAAGAGGAAGAAAGAAATGGCCAATAAAAGTGCACCGGAGGCCAAGAAAAAGAAAACAGACGGTAGGTAGTGTGGGATCATCAAACGATGCTTGTTTGATGGACTGTTACTGGAATGTTGGGTGAGGCACATAACTGTGAAGGGACAGGATGCTGAGTGGGGGTTTTTCCAGCACAAATGATGATTTTAAGGGACTTAATACTGAAGTGTGATGTCACTTTTGAGCAGAAACTGATGTGCTAAAGCTGTCTGGAGTCTGGCTTCCAGTTCTTTTAACTGCCTTAAAAAAAAACCTTGATTATCTTTTCATTTAAAGGGCCCACTTCAGCTTTCTCCCTTTTTGTGGGAAATTTGGTCTCCACCAAGGAATATGAAGAACTGAAGACTGGCATCAAAGAATTCTTTGGGAAGAAGAATATCGAAGTTTTAGATGTCAGAATTGGTGCTTCCAAGTGAGTTCATCAGTAGAATTTTGCTGCTTTTTTTTTTTTAATTGGCAGTAATTTGTTTGGAGAGGTATAGCTGTGCTGACGCTGGTTCCCTTCAAGATGCTGGGATGGTTGCTTGGTAGTGTATGAAAGCTGGAAGAGGCACGGTACTGATAAGGGTATAATACTTGCCTGGCTTGCAGCTTTTTCAGACAGCATCTCCCTAAAGAGAGAGCTGCTCCTTCAGTACAGAGCTGTTGTTCTCTGCTGCTGTTCTGGTTAGGTGGGCCAGTTAGAATGTTAACTTGACCAGTGGGGACCTCTCTGGTTCTGCGTTTCTGTTTGTGTTCTCTGTTGCTAGAGACAGATCGGCGTAAATAGTAAGGTTACTCTTCTTTCAGGCGGTTTGGCTACGTAGACTTTTCGTCTGCTGAAGATCTGGATAAAGCTCTCCAACTAAATGGGAAGAAGTTAATGGGTTTGGAAATCAAACTGGAAAAAGCAAAGAGCAAGGAAACGATGAAAGAAAATAAGAAAGGTATGGCCGATAACTCTGAATAGGTATGCACATCAAAGAAGAGTTGTCATAATCGGGCCTTGGAGCAGGCTTGCAGTATTGCTGATGGCTGCTATTCTGCCTTTATTTAAGGCAAATCTTTCTGGTTTGGGCTCTACATCATAAACAGTTTCTCAAATGCTAACATAAGGATAGGCGAGGTCAGACTAGCATATCTGGAAATGTGATCACAAGAAATAGTGCATATTGGGGCGGGTCTGAGGAGGAAATGTTGCTCTTTCTGAAGCTTTAGGACCTGTTTCTGAACTTCATGCCCTTAAGAGAAGTACAATGGCAGCCTAATTAACTGTCATAATAGTTGCTTTTTCAGCTTCTCAAAATGCGAATGCTTATCGTGGTTTATTTTCTGCTGGATCAACTCACTCTGGTTGTCACTGAACTGTCATTGTAGATGAGAAGGGATTTTTAGCTGGTAACGTGAAAGTAACTTTTTTCTCTCTTTGCAGAGAGAGATGCTAGAACACTGTTTGTGAAGAATCTGCCCTACCGCTTAACTGAAGATGAAATGAGAGATGTGTTTGAAAACGCACTAGAAATCCGAATAGTAATGAACAAGGAGGGGAACAGCAAGGGGTATGTACCCGAGAGGACTGTTGGATGTTTGCTGTTCCTCAAACTCTTGGCATATTTTGATAAGCTCGTGTCCTTAAGCTACCTTAAGGGACCTGCTGCATTAGGTGTACTGAAAATGCTAATTTCTGAAGCATTTTTCTTCCACGTCCTTCCCCTCCTCACTCATGAACTTAGTTGTTCCTGGATTTGCTTATGTTCTTTTCTGTGCTGTAGGATGGCCTATGTTGAATTTAAAACAGAAGCTGAGGCAAACAAAGCTCTGGAGGAGAAGCAGGGCACAGAGATTGATGGTCGTGCCATGGTCATTGACTTCACTGGGGAGAAGAGCCATCAAGAACATCAGAAAGGTACTTTTCCAGACCAATAATGTGCACGCAAATGACATTTAGGATTTAATTCCACTTGTTTCAGAAGTTTGCTAGGGATAGAGCAACTTGAAGCACTGCAGGAAAACTGTAAGATACCAGGAACGGATCTTTTGCCTAACCTGTGCTCTGCATCCTATGCATTTCATGTCTCTACTGCATGTTTTGGACAAGGGGGGACAGCTAGTCTAGGTGACGAAAACAGTGTTGCACTTAGCTTTGTGCCTCACCTTGAGGTGAGCGAGCAACAACTACTCTCACCCTAGAGAGGATGTTGTGCCTAGAGGAAGAGAGCGCTCTCCTCCTCCAAACTTGCACTTACAGCACTGAGTTTTCTCCATAGGAGGTGGAGAGAGGGAGTCAAAGACCCTGATTGTCAACAACCTCTCATACGCTGCTTCAGAAGAGACTCTCCAAGAACTGTTTAAGAAAGCTTCTTCCATCAAGATGCCACAGACCAACCAGGGCAGGCCGAAAGGGTATGTTGTGCCTTTCTCCTGACTCCTCAGTTGGCATTGCAAATGACTTGCCTCCACAGATCCCTTGTGCTCCCAGGCTGACTGAAATCTTCCTCTCCAAATAGGTATGCGTTTGTAGAATTTCCCACAACTGAGGATGCCAAAGAGGCATTGAATTCCTGTAACAACACGGAGATTGAAGGCAGAGCAATCAGACTGGAATTCAGTTCACCAGCATGGCAGAAAGGGAACATGAATGCAAGAGGAGGATTTAATCGTAAGTGTTTCATGTTTGATCATTTGATCTTGAGACAGCTGTGGCAGGAGTGGACCATTCATGCAAGCTTAGGGCTACTTTTGGAAATGAAAAAAAGCATGCCCATGGAGTGAAAGACTTGCATTGTAAGCGAGTGTGCTGGATATGATGACTGATTATCTGAAATGCTGATGAAACTATTGCCGAAGGCCTCTAGATAGTCAAGTGCTGATCCAGCAGTGTCTGTCCAGTTAGTATCCCTATTGATAAAGATGCAAGCATCTAAAAAAAAAAAAAAGGAAAAAAAGAATTATTTTGACAGTACGGGGTTGGCTGATGGAGATACTTTGACATCAGGTTCTAACGGCGGTCCTGAAAAAGTTTTCAAGGACTTCGTTAGGTGCCTGAGCTGGTACGTCAAAACAAACCCCTTAGCCCTGTGAGCTGTTCCAGGAGCCAGTAGTGCGAACTGGATGTGATGTTGAGAAACTGATGGTTGCCTTGCTCAGACATAATGATCTCTGAATGTATTCTCTTTCTTGTAGAACAAAGCAAAACGTTGTTTGTCAGAGGCCTTTCTGAGGACACCACAGAGGAGACACTAAGAGAATCATTTGAAGGCTCTATAAGTGCTAGAATAGTCACAGACAGAGACACTGGGTCGTCTAAAGGGTACGTTAAACATCACCTGGGATTAGTTCAGTTGCTACAAAAAGCCTCACTTTAACTGATTTATGCACTGCAGGGTGTTTCTAACACTCACGCGGGTGATTCTTTGAAGCTAGTAAGTTGCATGGAAGCAGAGAACAAGCTTACAGCTTTGGGTCTGTTTGTAGAGGGCAGGGCGCGCTCACTTCTCAATGAGCTCCTTCCTGCCGACAAATCCGTGGCAGCCTATGGATTCGCACGAGAAGAATATTAACTGTTCAGTACTGGCAGACTCACAATGGGGCTCCCATCGATTGTGATCAGCCACTGCTGTTCTACAAATAACACGGTCCTGATCTCTGTGTGGTTGCAGAAGTGCAGGCTGTTTGTTTCCGAAGGGATTGCTGTGGAGTACCTGTAGGTGGTGCTACAGCTTGTGGAGTTTGACTGTCTTTCTTCTTACCTGTTTCCTAGGTTTGGGTTTGTGGACTTCAGCTCCCCAGAAGATGCCAAAGCAGCTAAAGAAGCCATGGAGGACGGAGAGATAGATGGAAACAAAGTGATCCTTGATTTTGCCAAGCCAAAGGGTGAATTTCAACGGGGCGGCGGATTTGGCGGTGGATTTGGTGGTCGTGGCGGCAGAGGAGGAGGCCGAGGAGGAAGAGGTGGATTTGGTGGCAGAGGTGGTGGCAGAGGATTTGGAGGTAAGAGGAGACAAATGCTGCTGTTCTAAGGGGGCATGCTTAAATTATCAATCCCAAGCCATTCTTGGGATTGTGGTGTAGTGCTGCCACAGAGCACTTGATGTGAACAAGGATGGGTTTGGAAGGGCAGTGGTATCTGTGCAGGGATTACCTGTAACTCTGCTTCTTGACCTAATTTTCTTTCTAGGTAGAGGAGGTGGCTTCCGAGGAGGCAGAGGAGGAGGTGGAGATCACAAGCCGCAAGGGAAGAAGATAAAGTTTGAATAAACTTCCCCTTTTCTTTCCCTTCTCCTGCTCTCTGAGACTATCTGAAAGGACTCCGGGGGTTTTTATTCTCCTTTTATCTTGGCGGAGCCTTTGGAGGACATTCCAAGATGCGAAGCAGTACTGTGAGCCACTTGGAAGATACAATTTTCATTTCAAGGAAGAGAGAGCAAGCCATTTTGACTGCTTGCCTATTCAAATGAACTTTTTAAAAAATGAGCGATAGATGTGGGAGTTTAGCCCTTGTCTGTGAGTTGTCTTGAATTTATAATGTTTTACCCATGTACAAAAATATTTTTTTTTTCCCCCTATAAACTTCTGTAGCATTTTTGCTGTAAAAATGCAGAATGTTTTATCATTTGTGCTTCAGCACCCTGTCTTGGACAGATTAAAGGACCTAAACTGGTTCGTGTTACTTCTGTGCCGCTAAATGAAGCAGAGCTGTGAGAAATAGCCTGTCTTGAGCCTTCTCTCTCTTAAGGTCATTAATGTCGCAGGCAGCAGCTACTGTCCTGCTGCTGCTCTAGCCTGTGTCAGCTCCCAGCAATGTACCTGTGCGATGCTTGGAGTGCTTGCGGGAAGGAGTAGGGGAGAGGAATACGATGGCTGAGGTAAGCCCTGTGCCTACAACCATACTTTTATTTTTGGTTTTTTTTTCTTACTGAAGATGTATGTAATGTTGCATGCTAGCCAATTGCTTTTTTACTTTTTTTAAACAAATGAGTAAATTGGATCTTGTACTAAGGCCCTGCACCTCAATCTCACTCCTACAGCCATTGCCTCGTCTCCTCTTGACTTGTCCCTAAGTGTGAAGCAAATATATTTAAACACGGGCTGAGGGGAAGTGACTGTGCTTGCCCCCTTGACCAAACACATGCCTTCTGCTGTTCTTTAGGCTTGGTAAGGGCGATTGCTTCCACCAGCGTGGGGATGAAGGTGCTGGGTCCCTCAGCAGTAGTTGCTGGCCTCTTTTTCCAGCCAGGCACTTGGCTGGTGTCCTGCAGTGGCAGCTGTTAGGGGACAACACTGCTCTTGAGTGACCGCAGCATGTGGGTGCAGAAAGCGGGGGGCTTAGAAACCACGGGGGCAGCT